ATTAACTTTTTTCCAGGTGTATATTTATTTTTACGAAAGTTAGGTTTCCTGAGCATGAGTATGGCAATCATTTAATATTTAATTATTTTATTTACAAAAAGTTCACTAGACATTCTGTATTGATACCGTTGCACAAAATCATGACATACTGAACTAAATTAAATGTGTAATAATATTTGACGTAATTAATAAGTGAATATTGACAGTATTATTGTTTAGTTGCAATTTGACATATCTGTCTTTCATTTAGCGCCAACTCCTGTTAAACAATAGGTTAGTATTGGCCACACTTTTGTTAGTTACAACATAACGGATCTGCCTTTCATTTAAATAATAGGACTAATTAGCAATATATTTGTTTTCCCACAACGTGGCCTATTTGTCCTTCATTTAGCACCTAAACCTGTTAAATAGTAGGTCAGTTTTGGAAGTATATTTGTTTAGTCGCTATGTGACATGACACATCTGTCCTTTTAGCACCTAAACCTGTTAAATAGCAGGTCAGTTTTGGAAGTATATTTGTTTAGTCGCTATGACACATCCATCCTTTTAGTGCCTAAACCTGTTAAATAGTAGGTCAGTTTTGGAAGTATATTTCTTTAGTCGCTACGTGACATGACACATCTGTCCTTTTAGCACCTAAACCTGTTAAATAGCAGGTCAGTTTTGGAAGTATATTTGTTTAGTTGCTACGTGACATGACACATCTGTCCTTTTAGCACCTAAACCTGTTAAATAGCAAGTCAGTTTTGGAAGTATATTTGTTTAGTCGCTACGTGACATGACAGATCTGTCCTTTTAGCACCTAAACCTGTTAAATAGCGGGCCAGTTTTAGAAGTATATTTGTTTAGTCGCTACGTGACATGACACATCTGTCCTTTTAATGCCTAAACCTGTTAAACAGCAAGTCAGTTTTAGAAGTATATTTGTTTAGTCGCTACGTGACATGACACATCTGTCCTTTTAGTGCCTAAACCTGCTAAATAAAGGTCTGTACTGGCCGTATTTTTGTGTAGTCACAATGACACACCTATCACATTCATCTAACGCCTAAATCTAGTAAAGAACAAGTCATTATTGAAAGTGTTTTACAGTGCCGGATTACCAAATGGGCCCGGGTCTAGGAGCCCACAGCCAGAGTTTTTTTGGCTAGTGAATTAAATAATTCTGGCAAATGCAGAAGCTTGCTAGCCATAAAATTATTTGTGATGGTAACGTTCATACCTTTCATCCAGTAAAATTTCGATAAATCGGCATTTTATCTGTTGAACGTCCAGCAAGTACGAAGCTAGTCGTACTTATTATTATTATTTGGATGATAGTTTTATTACAAAGGGCACAGGAGGTTTTAGGCCCAGGGTGTGTGTATGACACTGGAGCCTTTATGCAGTTTTAATCACTAACTAGCTACTATTTGCAGGACCTGAAATAAATGCTAGTAAAGTAGATATGTGTACTATCCACTTCTCCAGAATCTCCAATTTGGAATTGAATCTTCAACTATCAAAATGTTTTTCAAGGGGGGTGTCCAGATTTGATCTCTATGGTAGGTTGACCAAGTGTGCTATGAATTACTTGGATGTGGAAGTTTATGTTTTATTTTTTCGTGTGTAGTTCACATTCCATTATTTTAGCATCATTCCATTTTATTGCATGGAATTTTTCTTTGATACGATGGGTTATTTCAGATAGTTCAGCATTACACGGTGTTGTGATACTATTATGCTCCTGAATTCTAACTTTTGTTGGTCTTTTTGTTTCTCAAATGCGATCGTATTGTGTTGTGGCATTTGGATACTGTTTTGACTTTATGCTGTTTGCATATCCTCTCTGTGTTATCAGAGATACCTTACACCTAGGGGAAATGTGGTCATACCTATACCTTATACCAAGGGGAAAGGCCCGGCATGGCCAGGTGGTTAGGGCACTC